GTGATGACGAAAAAAACAACAGCTATATTCCTTGAGCACTTACTACACGCCAGGCCTTAAGTGCTTTAGATGCATTAACTCAGTCATTTGTTAGCTTTAAATGTACAAATGCCCTCCAAGATATTTCTTAACTACAAAGAGAAAGTACCTTACAGAGGAGAAACCAGGTTAAACAAAGGTTAAAATTGCCAGGAATGGGACATATTGACACCAGGAGCCCCCAACAGGATGCACTGAGGACAAAACACCACCTCTGTGGTATTCTTGCCAAAAATACAAAACCTCATGCAAATCGTGAGAAAACATCAGACAAGCCCAAGTTGAAGGACATCGTACAAATAACGAGTACACTTCAAAAAGATTAAAGTCAGGAAAGGCAAGGAAAGGTTTAGAAACTAATAGATTGCAGAAGGCCAAGGAAAAATAACTACATGTAATGTGGGACCTTGAACAGGAGCCTAATGGACATTAGTGGAAAAAACTAGTAAAATCCCCATAAGGTCTGTAGTGTAGGTAATAGAATTAAAGCAGTACTGATTTCCTGTTGTTGGTTGGTTGATATTCATTTTGATCGTGATGTGGTTATGTAAGACGTTAACGTTAGGGAAAGTTGGGTGGACATATATGGATACTCTCTGCTCTACAACTTTTCTGGAAACAAAAAATTAATTCAAAATTAAAATTTTAAAATTATTTTTGAATTTCAAGTTTTCTAAGTGCAAGATTCCCCAAACAAATCAATCCCATCTCAGAAGAATAACTTACAGGGTTGGTCTACCAGCAATGAAAAGTGCCCAGACTTTGAGTAAAGCAGAAAATATTTTGTTTGCCATATTATTAAAACTCTGCCACAGCCGAGTTTTTTAAATTGTTATAATAGCTCCTATTTGTTGAGCAGGTACTCAGTTGCAGGCACCGTGCCAGCTCATTCCAATAAGCACCTCTGCGATTTCTGGAAGTGTGACCAGCAAGACAGGCCATGAAACGCCCCTCCCCCGCCTCATGGTCCAGCGGGCTCTCCATGGGGTTGTGCTGCATCTTCTGTTCATCTTGTTCTCCAATCCAGCAGGACGCCATGAGTGAGAAGTTTCTCTAGCTTTTCTGACCATGCATCACAGCCCCTCCCCTCTTCTTCATTCCTTCCACAGTGACTCACTCTGGGAGGCTTTCGAAATCAAATAAATAAAGGCATTTCCCACCAACTCTAAGCCCGACAACTTTAGCCCTCAATACTCATTTCTTACATCCCACAAGAGGAAAAATACATGTGAGATTACTGCTATTTAAGAGGTTCGGGATTGCCCAGGTCTGATCGTTTTCTTGGTTCTTTTCTCCTTGTGCCTCTCTGGGGTTCTCCCATCTCACCAGCCAGGAGGATAAGAGCAGACCAGAGGCCACACAATTTGCAATTCTGGCTCCTGACTGACTGTCGCTCCGGTGTGCTGGGCCTCAAGGTTCTGACGGGCAGAACAGACAGGACTTGAGCCTTGTTGCCATTCTGGACCGTGGTACCTGTTGTCTGACCCTGGGTCTCTGCACAGTGAGGTTTCCTGCTAGGCCCCTCCAAGCCTGCCCCTTGGCTAACTTTGCGACGTGCCAACAAAATTCTGTTTCCATCCTCTTCTCTACCCACAGACTGGAAATAAATCATCCAATGATTGGTTAACATGTCATGACTGTATCCCACTTTGCAATGAGGTGGGGCAAGTGGGAAAAGGCATTCTGAGCCCAGTGCCTTGAACCCTTGAACGAGAGGAGAAGAGTCCAGAGGGCCACTGATTCAAAGGAGGCGAGCGCCGGGCCTTTGTCCAGGGAGAGCTTGGGTAGGACCCGACCGAGGCGAGGAAGGCCTGGCCACCTCCCTCCTGCCCACTCAGGAATTTTGGGCAGCTGAAGGGGTGCTGCCTGGGCAGGGCTGGGTGTCTGCGAACAAGCCACAGAGCCCCCTTCCCTGGGCCAGCCCTCACTCCCACCCCACCCGTCAGTAGCTGCTGTACAGGGGACAGCGTGGAGGACAGGGCAGGGGAGACAGCTCTGGCCCAGGCCCTTTCAGGCCAGTTCCCGTTGTCACCACCAGGATAACAAAGACAAACAAGGGGGGGAAGGAGAGGCCTCGTGCCAAGGCAGTCAGAGGAGGGTTGAGGGTGCTTTGAGGGGGAGCACTGGGCAGATATCGACAAGGACAAGGCAAGGTAGCAAGTGCTCTGCCCCGACAACAAAGGAACTGACCTTGAATACTAATCTTCTTCCTTGATCGGAGGGGCATTCAAACATCCACCACACTCCTGGGCAACCCAGAGCCACTTGGAAGGGAACTGAAGGTCTGCACCTGACCCCTACCTGCCCCAGAGGTAAAAGCATTCAAAGAGACCAGGAGCCAAATTGTTTCTGTCATGGACTGTAATGTTACAGCACAACCCTAATCTACTCAAAATCATAGCACACTTGAATGTCTCAATAGAACTATTACAAAAAATAGCCCAGCCCCCTCCCACCAGGGATGGAGGAGGGGTCCTTCTGACGCAAGTTTTCTGGACTGTTCTTCAGAGATGCCCCAGGGGCTAAGCTCCAGTTCCATGGTGCCTGTTGGCTTAACACACACTCTTATTGGCTGTCTGCCTTCCCAACATCACTTCACCATGGACCATGCACCTGCATTTCCCAAAACACTAACTTGACCTAGAATCCTCCTCTTTAAGATCTGTTTCTGGAAGAACCCCAACCAAGGGTAGGATAATATCTTTTTATTTTGATATAATTATTTTAAAAGAAGAGGTGGTTGAAGTTGGTACCAGGATCAGAGTTACTGATGGCCTTTCAATAGAATGGTTAGGAAAGCCAATTTGGGGAAGGGCTTGGATGATGAGCTAGAAGAGAGTGTTAGTTGAAGACAGGCTAGCAATGGGCTGTATACAGGATGGTAGGATTCCAGAGCAATGAGTGAGCCCATGCTGACACTGAGGATGCAAGTTCTTCATGTGGCCGGCTTACTGCTTGCGTAGGATGAAAGAGCATTTCCCTGATACAGGGCAGCTGTCGGGAAGCTGCAAGCACCATTGTTCAACCGCCTGGCCCCTGACTTCGAAATAAGCCCTTGGATTACAATCAAATTAAAAACTCTACTTCTGCTGCTTCAGCGCAATCAATACATTCCCTTTCACAATGCACAACAGACAGGAAGAAAACAACTGCCAAAGCTCAGAAGCCACTACTATGGTTGCTTGGGTGAAAATTCCTAAACACAGATTAAAGTGAGAGAAGCAGGAAATAAACCCAAACAGGGCTCCATCTTTCAAATAAAGCTAAATGAGGCTTCATCTTTCAATTTAAGGGCATACACACACACACACACACACACACACACACATATACACACACTAATGCAGTACTTCAATTATTCTAAGATGTAATATTTCATTTTTTAACACCCCCGCAATTGAGGCATATTGTACAATTGATACAAATCATATTGGGCTTTTTAGTGGTATATAAAAAGTACTGAATCTTACAATTAATAAATATGGAATTTCATATGTGATGTGAACAAACAAGATTTTAGGGCCTCCTTAAAGACAAAAGTGCCTCATTCTTGGCCTCTACCTTTCAAGATATTAAGGGTGGGCTTCCCTGGTGGCGCAGTGGTTAAGAATCCACCTGCCAATGCAGTGGACACGGGTTCGAGCCCTGGTCAGGGAAGATCCCACATGCCATGGAGCAACTAAGCCCGTGCACCACAACTACTGAGCCTGCACTCTAGATCTCGCGAGCCACAACTACGGAGCCTGCGAGCTACAACTACTGAAGCCCGCATGCCTAGAGCTTGTGCTCCGCAACAAGAGAAGCCACCGCAATGAGAAGCCCGTGCACTGCAGTGAAGAGTAGCCCCCACTCACCGCAACCAGAGAAAGCCCGCGCACAGCAATGAAGACCCAACGCAGCCAAAAATAAATAAATAAATACATTTATAAAAAAAGATACTAAGGGCAAAAAAACTTTCAAGTGTATTGAGACCTAAATAAACCATGATAAATATTTTAATTTTTCAGATTGTTAACCCTAATTAGGTAAAGCTCAGTTTCAAAATTACTTGGCAGATGACCCTAGCATTTAAAAAATAAAACTAATATAGAATTAACATAAAGGAAAAATGAATTTATCCTATAATCTAGACAGCCCAGCACATGAAGTATTTACTTTCCTGTTCTAAACAAGAATTTTTACTTCATCTGACATTTTTCTTAAGGCAAATCACAGAAAAGTTAACTTTTGGCCCAAGTAAAGGCTTCTTTCATTTCAGCTTTCCTGGAAGTGAAAATAAGCCATCCTTTACCTTCATAAATGCTTTCTCCCTTCCTGCATCTAAGGGAAACAAGATAACCCAGAACATCAGACTTCCAGACCATACCAATCAGGAGTAGAAAAGTAGGAGGTGGTCACCCTTTGGGTGCCTTTAATTCTGGATTCAACTTCAAGTGAGACTCAAACTTCCTGCCCTTGTTTTCCATTCTCTCTCAACCAACTCAAGAAAGGAAAGCAGGGTCAGGGATGGAAATGAGCCATTCTGGTCTCTTTCATCCTTTTCCTCTTAAGGTGTAGTTGGGTTTATGAAAAGTCCAAACTCTGGCAATGCTCATTTAGCCTTTTTGACCCTCAAACTCAAAAACAACATGACTTGGGAGTAACCATGAAAAAAGGTCCAAAAAGCAGTTTCCACTGAGGCCTCAGTTATTGAACAGTTCTCCAAGAATGAATTAGGCTGTGATGCTTACATCCAAGAGATGGAAGCTCAGGTGAGAATCCAGCTCATGGGCACCAAAAGCCCTTGCACGGGATCAGTCAGTACTAACACTGAGCCCAAGCATGTGGAAAGCTGTAACATCTAGTATCCCTTTGCTGAAAAGGGTCATCCCATGAGGTCGATGACCAGTGTTGTGGGCTCAGGTAACAACTGCATGAGAGCTTCTGTCAAATAAAGAAGAGCCAGAGAGCATCTCACCCACCAGACATTGTTAGCACCAAGGACTGATGTTCGAATAATGGCACATGTCAAGAAGAGGCTCACCAAAGGCCCTCAGTGGTCCTCCAAACATGTTTCAAAACCTGCTACATCTCTTCTTTCTCTGTAGACTTGAAATCTCAGTGAAGGAGACTCCCTAAAAGAAAAAAATTAAATCTTCCTCAGAGGAGAAATCTATTACTTAAGAACACATGGTCAAGTTACATGGACACAAGCAATTTGTGAACCAAATACCTATGAATGCTCTGAGAGCTTCATTACTCGTCTCTAAACCTGATGTGGTGATGTGGCCACCACCCTCTACTCACAACCACTGGAGCAGAGAGATCAGATGCAGGCACATGAACCCTTTAGAAGGACCAAGCTTACAAATCTTCAAACCCATATCAAGTATCTGTGCCCTCATACTCGCTCACATGTATGGCCTCAACATTCCCACTAGGAGAGGACAGTGTGCTACATGTTCTCACAACACTAAACCTTCTGTTTTTGGAGTTTCATCCAATGCCTACTTGTTTTTAATTGAGCTTTAGCAGTTTCTTCTCAACAAAAGTCTAGGAAAGAAACTTGAGTGGTCAAAGCTGCTCCATGTTTCATCACCGTGGATACAAACCCCAAAAATGGACATGGCTTAGGATGATAGAATCTTTAAGATGCTGCTCCATTCCACTCACACCATTTTCAGTGAGTATAAAGAGTTAAATCCTTTATACTCACTGAAAGTGGAAGCGTAAATAAGTATTCATACTCCTCCCTAAAGACTCTACATGGGAAAGCACTTTTAAGAATTTTAAATACAAAGACAGATGAAAAGGTATAGTTCAATATTACTGTAATAGTTTCTGGGGGAAAAAAATGGCCTCTTTGGGGAAAATGTAATTAAATGCTGGAAACAGAGATTACAGGTTACACATTACACGCGACAATTAAAAATATGGTGACTTTATTTCAATCTTCTTACAGTCCCCAGTATCACATCTGGTAAGAATCTTCATATCTATAACACAAAAATGTCTCAAGAAAGCATGTTACAAGACAGTATATATAGCAACAGTTTGGCAGAATTCTAGTTCATATCCCCCCCAAAATTTTTTAATTCAAAAATAACAATTAACTTTATTTAACATATGTTATACTTACTACTTAAAATACCATGCTCTAGTTAAATAATTAATCAACAACACTGTATACAAATAAAATATTACACAAAATATATTTAAGAAAATGTTTTGGTATTTGATCTGAACAATAAATAAAAACACAGGCACTTCTACACTGAAACAGGAAAGCAGTCACTACTCAGGATAATAATTTTGTATAAGCAACACGTAATCATGTGGCAAGAACAGAATTCTGCAGTTTTAAACTGACAAACCACTGATAAAAAGGTCTGCAACTTCAATCTTTTCACTTAAAGTTCAAAAGTTACATACGCTTTCCTGGTCCACAATGAAAAATCATAAACACAATGTGGTTACCAGGGTCAATTCAATCTTCAGTTTGAAGATTATGAAATCATACTCATTATTTTCAAATACTAAAAAAGAGAGAACTATCACGATACCACCCAGCAAATGAAATACAAGATAGTTAAGCTTCCTCCTTATTATGACCAAAAGACCATAACAAGATAAAACTGGATGAATGTCACACGGTGATTCCCATTTTGCAAAACTGATTAGATTAACCCAAGGAAATGTTGGGGCAGCAGGAAATTTCAACAGAAGTTAACTTTTCCAGACTATTTAAAAAATTCATCCAAATTTCATGAAAATAAATGTAATTCCATTTCACAAAAAGCACTGAGTCATATATAACAGTGTCTTTGTAGCCAGTAGGTTTATGAATACCTAAATTGCAGATAATTCACTCATTATAATGGGAAATAGGATTACCATCATATGAGGGCAAAACAAAAATAACTTAACACGATCAGATTCCAGAAACATGATTTCAGATGACAAGGGGGACAAGTTAGAAAATAATGACCACTAGCCAGCAGGAAGGGTCAGAACCATTCGTCCTGTCATATCCTACATAAAAATTAGGATCTTCTGCTTTCCCTCTTCAGAAAGTACTACATTGAAAGGTTTAGAGGCCCTCATATGGATACTACTCATAAAGGCAGTTTTGATGGTTTTACATAGAAATTACCTCTAATGTGAGAGAACACAACATGGGAACTATTCGAGATACATCTTTCTATGCAAAATTTAGTTTAGTACATAATTTAGCAACTTAAATGAGCATTTTGCAACCCAGACCAAATATCAATCATCTCTTGAGGTTTTCTACTATGTACCAACATCAAACCTACATAGGAACAAATGTTATTCCTGTTTTTCTCTTCTATATCAAATGTCCTGAAGCCTTTGTGTTTCTCTGGAACGAGGCCAAGTTTCTGAAGGCACATTCCAGTATAAACGTCATCGATGGGGTAGAGAAGGACCTGGTCAGTTACATTGTATAGCCTCAGGGCCAGGTGGCCGGAGTACAGGAATCCACCTCCCCCTGCATAAGGTGGGTAGACGCCAGTGTAAACAACTTCCGGGATGTAGTACTTGAGTTTCTTATCCCGATGAGGTCCAGCATTGTGAATCACATCACCTATAAACAAATCTTTGGCTTTGTTCTTGGATAAGCTATTCAAGTAATTCAGGATGTGATGGGTGTTCACAAAAACATCATCATCACCCTTGAACACGAACTCAGCATTTGGGCAGGAAGTGCTCACCCACCTGAGAAAGAGTACTTCTTTCAGAGATAAGTTGAAGAAGGTGTCTCTGTAGTTCCACATAAGAATGTCTTGGTGTTTCTCACTCTCAAATTTCAGCATATCTGAAAGGTCAGGATGGTTGTCCTCTGGGGAGGTCTGGCCCAGTAAGAAGACTCGCACCACTGTTTGGTTCCCCACATTGGTTTCTTTGCCCCAAGATTCCCGAATTGCTTGCCTTCTGTCGAAATGTGAAGTAAGGGACTTAATCGCCAGCAATAAGAAGGGCTTCTTTGCACACTTATCAGGTTGATCTATAAGCAGTGAATAATTTCGACATCTCAAGTACAACAGAAAGTCTTTAAATCTGTCTGGCAAACTGTCGAAACCTGAAACTACTGACGTGACCCTCAGGTCAGGTTCACAATAATTCAGATGGCTTATGTTGGAAAATCCGTATGCTTCCCCTGTCTGGTTGGCTAACATGTTCAAAATGGGATTGTACTTCCTGTTCAGCTTTTCTTGTTCCCTGTTCCAATATGCCTTGGGAGGGTCAGATATCTTCCAGAACTTGTCTTTGGGTATTATTACTTCCCCTTTTCCATTTTTTTCTTGGCTACTGCTTTTGGAGACTTCCACAATCAAATAAATGAAGACATTTACCATCATCAGGATTCCCAACAACTTTATTCTTCGACGTCCAACACTCATTTCTCATATCTGAAATAAAAGAGAGGAGCATTGTATTGATTAGATTATTATTAATTGCATTTGCTCACATGCCACTTGCCTCTTTTATGTCCCCTGGAATAGTGGTTTAGAGCACAGATTCTAGACTTGCACTGCCTGGGTTCAAATCATGGCCCTATCATCCTAGACTCAAGCTCTGTGACCTTGGGCAAGTTGTATAACCAATGTCTCAGCTTCTCCATCTGTAAAATGGGGATAAATAACCCATTTCATAGGACGGTTTTGAGAGCTATATGCCTTTATATGTAAGCTTTTAAAACAGTGGCTGGCCTATAGCTAGCTGTATATAAATGACCCTTAACGCTGTGGCTGTTTTGGACACCGGAGGGCAAAGATACGCATTAACTAGATAATTCACAGGTGCTTCAACTTCCTTGCTTACACAAGGACATATACAAATCAGTGTGCTGCAAACGGATGTGCTCACAATTCATAATAACAAATACAGTTTATATTTGTTATTATGGACATACCTGCACACACACATAACTGTATTTATGTGAGCTGCAACATGTACAGTTCCATGTCATTTATTTTGATCCCCTATTTTACTCTATTTTTTTTTAAATGGTGGCCACAACCTTGAATTGTTTCCTGACCTTCCATTTTACAGATGAGGAAACCAAGGCAGAAAGATTAAGACACTTGCCCAGGGCTGCAGGGTTAGGAGGTGGAGGAGACACTAACCACACTGAATGTTCAGAGAGATGAAACCAGCTTCACACCAGCTTCATCCAAATCGCCCACAACTGAGACCAACCAAAATGTCATCAACAGAAGAATGGATTATAAAACTGTGCTATATTCATACACTAAAACAACCCCTAGCAATAAAGAGGAAAACTACTGCTACAAGCAACAACAGTGTAGTGAGGGAGAGAGAGACCTCAAACTCCATTTATGTTAGGTTCAAGAAGGCAAAATTAATCTAGGCCCTAGAAATCTGAAAGTGATAGGGGTAGGGGTTTTGAATGGAGAGGGTCTATACCCTTCTTGGGTATAGAAATATACTGTGTATGTCTTGATCTGGATGAGGTTTCATGGGTGTATACATTTGTCAAAAGTCAAACTGTATTCTTAAGATCCCTGCTGTTTATAGCAAGAAGGAAAAGAGAAATGAAAATGACATTTTAGTGAAATATCAAAGGCCAAGAATAGATTTCAGGCTGTAGGCAACAGAACAAAGAAAGAGTAATGAGATGGTCTGCTGGGGTTGTAACTGCAGAGTTCTAACACTAGTGAGACAGATGGCCCAAGAACAACCAGTTAGATGAGCTTGACCTTAAAAGACAACCCCAAAAAGTGGAACGGCAATACTCGGTAAAGAATTTTCTTATCAGGCTGGGACCTCCCTGGTGGCACAGTTGTTAAGAATCCGCCTGCCAATGCAGGGGACACGGGTTTGAGCCCTGGTCCGGGAAGATCCCACATGCCACGGAGCAACTATGCCTGGGCACCACAACTACTGAGCCCACGTGCCACAACTACTGAAGCCCGCGAGCTCTAGGGCCCACGTGCCGCGACTACTGAGCCCACGTGCCACAACTACTGAAGCCCAGGCGCCTAGAGCCCGTGCTCCACAGCAAGAGAAGCCACCGCAATGAGAAGCCCGCGCACTGCAACGAAGAGTAGCCCCTGCTCGCCACAACTAGAGAAAAACCCGTGCACAGCAACGAAGACCCAATGCAGCCAAAAACAAATTAAAAAAAAAAAAAAAAAAGAATTTTCTTATCAGGTTAATTCTACAGCTGAGAATTCATCCTCAGAAAAGAATCCCAAAGAAGTATTGCTTCTCAGGCACAGTGCATTATCTTGATACAGGGAGCCTCTGAAGAAGGTATTGTTACTTTTATTCCCATTTTATATCTGAGGAAACAGATTTAAAGAAGTAACTGTGTTAAGGGCAGAGCTGGAATCCTAGCCAAGGTGATGGGGGTTCTAAGACCACCATGTCAAATGGTAGCTACTCTTCTCTGACCTCTAGAACAAAATGGGTTTTTTTATTGGGGGGGAGGGCTGCAGTTAATAAACATTGATTCTTCTAAAATTTCAATACAAAATGTGAAAGTTCAAAAAGAATGGTGTGAAGGAAACAGTTTGGTATCACTAGAGGAGCATGGGATTTTTTTTTTTAATTTATTTTATTTATTTATTTTTGGCTGCGTTGGGTCTTCGTTGCGTTGCTGCGCGTGGGCTTTCTCTAGTTGCAGTGAGCAGGGGCCACTCTTTGTTGTGGTGCGCAGGCTTCTCATTGCAGTGGCTTCTCCTGCCGCGCAGCACGGGCTCTAGGCACGTGGGCCTCAGTAGTTGCGGCACATGGGCTCAGCAGTTGTGGCTCGCAGGCTCAGTAGTTGTGGCGCACGGGCTTAGCTGCTCTGCAGCATGTGGGATCCTCCCAGATCAGGGCTTGAACCCGCGTCCCCCACATTGGCAGGCGGACTCCCAACCACTGCGCCACCAGGGAAGCCCTGTTTGTTTTTTTAAAATTGAAGCATAGTTGACTTACAACATTATATTAGTTTCAGGTATACAATATTGTGATTTGCTACTTTTATAGATTATACTCCATACAAAGTTATGATAAAATATTGACTATATTCCCTGTGCTGTCCATTACATCCTTGTAACTTATTGATTATGTATTTTAATCAAGGGTAGTGTTTATTTATTTATTTGTTACTATGAGATTTAAAAATTCACTGGGTTCTAACAAACAGTCTCAAGGCAGAAGTATTTGTCACGCTGAGAATGCTGTGAAGTTATCACTATGTTGAACAGCCCAGATTAGATCAATGGGAATTCACAAACTGTTTTGCGTCTCTTAAAATCTGTCCAGTAGATCCAAATCTAGTTGCTTGTACTTATCACTGCTAAATAGTTTCGGTTAAGGACATATAAGTAAAAGATGTTTTTATAAAACCAGTCCCTACACCATACCTTCCACTCCCCAAAGCCTCTACACAGCTAGAGAACATGGCAGATGATAAAGTTATATGGGTGCTCTCAGCTCACCCAGGTAAGCAGCCTCCCATCACCACTCCATTCTCCCCTCACTTCTCAACCACTACCCACCCTCCAACCCTCAAGAATCCCACTACTGAGGTACCAAGAAAGGGCCTTCTTAAACTTCCTCCAAAGAAGGCGGTAAAAAAAAAAAAAAAAAACCCACAAGATATTCCCTACTCCTTAATTATAGGTTTAAAGGGCCCCAAGTCACACACAACCTGAATAATTCATAAGTCTATGGTCCATGCCCTCCTTAGGTCAGCTCCTTTCAAGTGAGCCTCTGAGGACACCTTTTATGCAAACTGAAGGCCAGTACATCTTCGGCACCCTAAACCTCTTTGTTATGGGTCTGACTTGCCAGGACAGGAGAGCTCAAGTGGACACTTGGAATGTATTTGTGCGGGTATCTGATACAATTAAAGAATTAGTCATCTTATTAGCAAATAAATCATGGATAGTTTTACGTTGGTTTTTTTTTGGCCTCCAGATTCGAGACAAAACACTTTCCAAAAACAAACCATTCTCTCTAAATTAGGATAACTTTCCTAAAGCTGAAGTAGCACTTGACCCAGTATCACTGGTCTTGCCCTTCATGTGAACAGGCTGAAAAGAGGACAAGGAAAAGTATGAGGGTGAACAGAGAAAGACTACAATGAGCAAGAAGATCTGGAAGGAAAAACAGCACACGCTATGAACAGCTAACTACTTGACAGAAATTTTCAACTCAGAAAAGGAATATGGATCAGTAGACTATTCCTGAAATTTCTACAGTAAAACAGGACAGCTTAAGGGAGAAAAAAAGAGAGGCACAGTACTTTTACATAACGGGTCGTGAAACTGTAAGTTAATTTTCCTAGGAAAAGATTCAGGGTGAATAATATAATTCCAGATAAATGAGCCAGTTATGCATCCAGACCTATGGATACCTGCAATCCAGACAGAACCATCTGAAATGATGGTGTGACGTTTCATATCACGAAAAGCACCAATCCTTCTTTCAGGAATATTTTGAAGAGTGCATTAAGCTTGCTGACCCTGGCCAAGGTTTCCAGCTTTATCACGGCAATTCAGGCTTTTATTTCTGCCATCAAGACCCAGCCAGGACCTCCCATATTCTCGGCCAAGATAGGGCTTTGTGGCTCTCAAAGGGACACCATCCTCACCTTGTTTCAAGGATTCAAGTCCTTGATTCAAGGATTCCAGAACATTTCCTGTCCATTTCTCATTTGTGCCCCCTCAGGGAAGCTGAGAGGATACCACTTTACCAGGGAGAAAAACAAAGGCTCCAAGAGGGTTATAACTGGGCTGCCTAAATGTCACCACAGAGTTAAGAGGTAAGGCCAAGATGACAGAGTCTTCTGGCTCCTAATCCAGGGCTTTTGGGATCTCCTCCTTTTTCTACAAGGCATGGCCACATTCTTGTAACCTGGTCCAGGTCA